TTCAACGTGAATTAATGAATTTCGAAATAATAACTCTAGGAGAAGAGTAGGAGTTGTGATTATCTAATGTAAATGAGTACCAATAAAAAAAAAAAAAAAAAAAAAAAAAAAAAAAAAAAGAAAAAAAAAAAAAAAAAAAAAAAAAATAATGAGTATAAAGGGGGGGGGGAGATGAATGAAAAAAAAAAGAAAAAGAAGAAAAAAAAATATAATTTAAAACACACACACACACACACACACACACACACACACACACACACACACACACACACACACACACACGTGCACATGCACGCACACGCACGCACGACATACGCACGCACACACATACGCTGTTCGCATCAGGATAACCGGGCAGTGCATTCGGACGCTGTATGACGCCGGGTATGGCGTGAGCTGCGCGTTTGTTCCTGGAGACAGACAAGCCCTGATTGGCACCAAGGTGCGGTTGTTACCATGCAAGCGGTGGCGGTGGCTTGTGGGGTATGGTGGAGACACTCATGTACGCTCCTGCCCGCGTGGCTGCTGATGGCTTGGCGTTCAGTTGTACGCGTCGCTCAGATACCGACTCTCACTCTTAAACACACACACACACACACACACGCACGCACACACACACACACACACACACACACACACACACACACACACACACACACACACACACACACGCATACACGCACGCACACGTACGCACATCAGGAGGGCGAGCTGAAGCTGTATGACCTGGCGTCTGGGGACTGTCTGCAGGTTGAGGACGATGCACACGCGCAAGCAATCTGGAGCATCTCCCTCTCCCCTGATAAGGTCGCACGTGCACACACATGCACTCATTCGTCTGCACTGCACGTGTACAAACCGTGCACACTGCGCTGCTTGCGTCGTGGACTCCTCTGAGTGGACGCATCTCGCAAACGTTCACTCGCACTGCGCTGCTTGCGTCGTGGACTCCTCTGAGTGGACGCATCTCGCAAACGTTCACTCGTCTTCTATGTATGTGGATGTGGATGTGCATGTGTATGTGGATGTGTATGTGTATGTGTATGTGTATGTGTATGTGTGTGTGTGTGCTTGTGTGCTTGTGTGAGCAGCAAGGGTTCATCACGGGATCGGCGGACCAGACGGTCAAATTCTGGCAGTTTGAGCTCATCCAGTCAGAGGACAAAATGCGGTGCGAAGCAACACATCCACAACACACGCACACACGCACACACACACGCACACACACGCACACACACGCACACACGCACACATACACACACGCACACACACACACACACACACACACACACACACACACACACACACACACACACACGCGCGCGCGCGCGTGCGCAAGTCATATCTGCCCCATTTCCATCCCAAATTCCTCGTGTTGTCACAGACGTATGCTCACGCGTGCATGATTTCCTATGTGCGTGTCCATGGAAAAATGCTCTGTCTTGCGTTTGTGCGCGTCCGTGTATGCTCATTTCCAGGAAAACGCTTGCAATTGAGCACACGAAGACGCTACAGATGACGGACGAGGTGACGTGCGCGTGCTTCAGTCCCGACTCCCGGCTCCTCGCCATTGCGCTCCTCGACTCAACCGTCAAGGTCCTGCTGCCGTGCTGGTGGTGTGCTGGTGGTGGCGTGCTGGGAAACGATGGTGCCCTGTGATGGGTGAATGCGTTATTGAGTACTGCATCTTGTGCTCTGTAACAGTGCCTTTGGTTGTCTTGTGTTCCCTGCTGCTTTCTTCTTCGCTTGTTGCTTACCCTCATTCCCTCACCGCCACCGTCGTATCTCTGCCCAATCTCCCTGCGCGCTTGCATCCATTGCGTTGTTCACTCTCAGGTGGTGTATGCGGACACGCTGAAGCCGTTTCTCTCTCTTTACGGCCACAAACTTCCCGTGGTGACAATGGACATCTCCAGCGACAGCACCATCCTCGCCACAGGGTACGCCGATGCGCTGCATGAAGATGTGCGCACTGTTTGCTCAGGTGTATTGTTGCCGGTTGGATCCTGGCGTGTCTGGAAAGGCGATGCCACACATCGTATCCCTGTTTTGGCACCGTGCGAAAAGAACACACAACACATACACGCGCACACGCACGTACGCACGCAATTTGCACACGAGCACATGTGTGACCCTTGGTGTACTTCTGCCCATACTCACCTCCCCTGTTCGTCCGTTGGTGACACGACAGCTCCGCTGACAAGAACGTCAAAGTCTGGGGTCTCGACTTTGGCGATTGCCACAAGTCCTTCAGGGCGCACCAGGTGCGCGCGTGTGTGTGTGTGCGCGCGCGTGTGTGTGTGTGCGCGTGTGCGTGTGTGCGCGTGTGCGTGAAGTAATGGAGGTTGTATGTGTGGTTGTATGTGCGTTTGTGTTGTTTGTATGTGTGTATAAATATGTAGTTATACCTGCAGTTATGTTGCGTGTTTGCCGTTCTGTTTCGTTTTTCGCCTTGCTGCAATCAGCTCACCGACGACTGCGTTTGTTGTGCTTGCAACACGTGGGTATGTGCGTGTGTGTGTGTGTTTGCAGGACACGGTGACGTCGGTGTGCTTTGCGGGCACGACGCATTATCTGTTCAGCACAAGCAAGGACAACGACGTGAAGCAGTGGGACTGCGACAACTTCCGCCTGATTCAGGTGCAGCAGGAAGAGAGAGGGTTGGGGGGGGGGGGAGGAATGAGGGATTGTACACGCGGGCATTGTTGAGAGCGACATCATGATGATGAGCAGAGCGGGGGTGGAAGAAGGCTTGGAGCCGAGGGCGTTTGAAGAGTTGTGACCACGAACTCAAGCATCATGAACATGTCTGCCACGTCATTCAGCTTCACTAACTCAAGGATTGTGTGTGTATGTGTGTATGTGTATATGTGTGTGTGTGTGCATGTGCAGACGCTGGAAGGCCACCACGGCCCAATCAGCTGCAGTGCAATTTCTCCCCGCGGCGATGTGCTTGTGACAGGATCACATGACAAGTCCGTACAGTCCGCACCAACACAGGCGCTGTTGTGAATGCTGTGACTGCGAATATTGGAGTTTGTTTGCTTGGGCTTCGGTTTCACCCCATGCACAACTTCACGCACGCACACACACACACACACACACACACACACACACACACACACACACACACACACACACACACACACACACACACACGACAGGTCGATCCGGACGTGGGTGCGCACGAAGGAGATGCTGAACGTGGAGGAGGAAGCGGCGATGGCGCGCGAACAGGAGTACGACGAGCAGCAGGTGGGGGATATGCACGTGCGTGCATATGTGCACGTGTGTGCGTGCGCATATGTGCGTGTGGAATGAGGAGGGGGGGGGAAGTGGGTGGATGAAGAAAGTTGAACTTGCTCGATGATGGTTTCTCGACGGTGGGCGTTTGCGTTGTCATCATGGCGTGCACCCATTCCTGTCCGTCCATGGCTGAATCAACGCACCCACTCACCGATGTCAAATGCACCATGCATCGAATCCTGTCCATGAACACATCGGTCATCGAACGTTGGGTTGGCGAGTGCAGGCTGAGCAGGAGGCACGGGAGTACCGAGCAAAGTCTGGCGATGAGGAGGTCGGTGTTGCCGGGAAGCGCTCGCTGGAGACACTCAAGGCCGCGGAGAAGCTGATGGAGGCTGTGCAGCTGGCGAAGGACCACGACGACAAGGGGCCAGGTACACACAGACACGCACAAACAGACACACACAGACACACACAGACACACAGACACACACACACACAGACACACACGCACACACTCATACACACACACACTCATACACACGCACAGACACACACGCACACGCACACGCACACACGAGCGTATAACCACGATGTGTTGTGGCACGATGTATTGCTGTTGTCACTCGCACCTGCTTGTGAGCCTTACTCGTGCACAGCAATTTCTTACAAATGCCACCCCACCCCTACCGTGATCTTGATTGCTGTTCTCGGGTGCAGGCGCGCCGGCACACCCCATGTTCCTCGCCCACCGCGTCAGCAGTGGCGCACAGTTTGTGCGCGTGATCATGGACAAGACGCCTTCAAGGTATTGTTTGCGCACACATAAATGGCGATTTGCCCTGCACACGCACGTGCACATTTGTGTTGGGGCACGCAGTGCTTGCAGGCACGAAGGCGAGCAGGTGATGTACAATGAACACAACGCCTTCACTCACCCGTGTCCTATGTTGTGTGCCTTGCGTGTGTGCGTGTGTGTGCATTTCAAACAGCGAGTTGGAGCAAGCGCTGATGCTGCTACCATTTGCTCTCGTCCCTACGCTGCTCTCATACCTCCTCGCCTTTGCAAAGGTGATTCGCCCTTGCTGCTTCGATGTGTGGTTGCATGTTTTACGTGTGTGTTGGCGCGCGCGCGCGCGTGTGTGTTCTGTTCACGTGCATTTGAACCGCGGCGCTTTTCAACGTTAAAGTCTTCCTGACCCATGCCGTCCTGCCCCCTTTGGCTGCTGCCCTTGGCAGGCCGAGCAATCTGTGGAGAAGACTGCGCGTGCGGTTGTGTTTCTGCTGCGTCTGCACCACAGCCAGCTCATTGCCACGTCGCAGCACCTCGACCTCATCGCAAAGCTCCAGGCAGAGCTTCCACACGCGCTCTCAGAACTGAAGGTGCGGCAGTGGCGGTGGTGCTTTGCTGTTGTTCTTGCGTGTGACGATGGTGTTGGTGTTGGTGCGTGTGGTTCTGTTGTATGCCACAACTTGTGCATGGTAGTGTGAAGACACACATCCGAGCAAGCATGCAACAACTCACGGCGTGCACCTTCGCTGTTTGATAGAACATGGTTGGCTTCAACCTTGCTGCTCTTCGCTTCCTGCGGCGGCAACTGGAAGAGGTGCGAACACCACACCCGTGTTTGCACTTGCTTGTCGCCAAAACGTGTGAATGCAACATCATCATGTGGTGCTTGACTGCTCTGGTTGTGCATGGGATTATGTGCTTGAGCGCACCAAAGCCCGCTGATCTCACACCAAACCGTTTTCCCCTCCCCTCGTTCACATCAATTCCTGTCTCGCTCTTTCCGCAGCAAACACAGGTGTATATGTAGGGTGGGGCTCTTGCTTCTCGGTGTTTGCGTGCGTGAATGCATGTGTTAACGTGCTCAAAGATGCGTTGTTGGTGTTTGTTGGCATTGTGTAAAAACAGTGAACAAAACGACAAATGCATCATCAACTTGGCACCGATTGCAATCCTGCTAGTCACGACGATCTGTTGTGTGTGTGTGTGTGTGTGTGTGTGTGTGTGTGTGTGTGTGTGTGTGTGTGTGTGTGTGTGTGTGTGTGTGTGTGTGTGTGTGTGTGTGTGACGTGCGTCAGGACTGGGATGGAACTGGGGCATTAAAAGCATATATCTAATAATGTCTGGGTTTTCAGGTTAGTGGCTGCCGGCGATGTGAGTGCCTTGACTAGAAACTCGATAAACATCATATCTCGCTGAGATGAGAGTCACGCGTGTCGCGCGTTAGTTGTTACAGATGATGATAAATGGTAACATGAAGGGGCGATGACACTGTTCGCGGAAAATGAATAGATTTCGTTATAAAAGAAAAAATAGATGGAGAATAGCAAGTGACTTATTGGCGATCGCTATTCGTGTCAATTGCCAATTTGATACGTGACCACCCGCTGGAGGGTTTTATGATGATGCTGTACTTTTGTTTTTTAGGCGGATCAATGCTAAGCGGGG